GAAACCCAAACTCCAAACTATGACTCGTTCCCTTCATTACTCTGGTTTGTATGCATGACAAGGTGAGTGTGTAGTTTGGCTGCTGAAAATCTGTCATGATGTTCCAATTATTTTAGAGATTACAATGTGATGTTCAATTTTGTCCAACCGCCCTTTTGTGTATAATTAGCGATATTCCCTTCGCTGCTAGAAGATACCATATCCTCCAAGTAATGTAATTAGAAAGCATGGCAAATATTACCTATGGGGTTGAAGCATTTAACTAAAGCGAACGAGAAATGTTTATTCTTTGTTTAGCTTCTCTGAGGTCTCATCAACGACTGCTCAACTTTTCCATTAAATAAGCAAATTGACTAATAAAGTGTTTTTTGCCCTGAAGCATTAAAGCTATGCTTTTCCCTCGCCCACTCGACTTTATAATGAAGCATTGGAGCTTTGGGAAGTAGGGAAGAGATTAATAAGATAAAATCTCTCAACCGCCAGCGTGATTTGCATATCAAAGCAGATATAGTGAACTTGAGTGCCTGTCTCTGTGAGTGATGGTATGACCTCATCCTGCTTCTGAAAGACACAAACAGGGGCATTCAGTCAGGAGGAGGAGAGTCCTTTATTTCGAAAAGTGTTGGCATTTTAGATAATTCGGAAGGCGAAAGACTGCGTTAAAAATCCCTTCCGCACAATGGCGCCATAATGTTGACTTGTTGTTGTGTGAATGTAGAAACCATATTCACAGACATAACGCAAAACCTTGAGCTTTTGAATCTTTATCAGTGAAGCTCTTTAATATGCCTCTTCAGCCTGGCAACGCATCCTCTGAGGCTTTTCAAAGAGAAATTACCTGCAATAGCCCCGTTGTGAGCACTGAATGGTTATCCACGTCCTCTTTTTCTCATTACTGCCTTATCAGTTGAGAACAGTTCTCTGAGGCTGAAGAGCCGTCGAAGAAAGGCTCTCAGTCTCTATGGGTGGCTTTGAGGATGTAATCTATGACTAAGTGACGGTTGGCCCGGCCACAAAATTTCATATTACGCTCAGACGATAAACATTGCTTTGCAAATTTCCTAATCCATTGTTAACTCTTGGACACAATCACTTGCAGGCCCGGATAGTGAGGCGCTGCGATAGATGACATAGGATAATGGTTGAGATTTATCTCTGCTGTCGAGAGCAAAGTAGGATTAGAAAAATCGGAGATAAAATTAATATTAGCGCTTAGCATCATGCAGCACCTTAATGGATGGGGATGGCAACGACACGCATGAGTGAGAAAGGACTTCACGCTCGAATGAGCTCATGTTAGTGTCCACACAGTTCCACAGATGTCGTAGAAAAATGTGCTATGGGGCCACATCACATCAGTCTCGAGGTGGCGGAAAAGGACTCAGACGCCTGGTGTCAGCACATTCCCTGGAAACTTATGAAGCTCCTCCTCCACTGCACACTTCTTTGTCAGCTATGATTGCTATTGACAGCTTAAAATCAATTTTGTGATCTGTGCAAGGGGTGTGCTGAAGGCGGGGCAAGTAGGGTGGTGGCCGCGGGCATCTACCTAAGGGGGGCATCCACAAAAAAAGCACCCTCAGTTTACACGGATGTTGAAGCCACATCCGGGTGGGACAGAGAGGCGTCCACTTGGGAAAACTGCCGTCTGCTAAACCTGCACAGGGTTTAAAAGAAGGCTTTCAAACTTGGGTTAGAGTTTCAAAGTAAGGTTGGGTTTTCAAAGGAGGGTTTTTAAATGAGGGTTAGGGTTTCAAAGTAGGCTTTAAAACTCAGGCTTGAGTTTTAAATTGGCTAGCTAGCTAGCTAGCTAGAAAGACAGATAGATAGATAGATAGATAGATAGATAGATAGATAGATAGATAGATAGATAGATAGATAGATAGATAGATAGATAGATAGATAGATAGAAATATCTATAGAGCATATGCAAAAAGAAGAAATCGACTGACACACACGTTTTGTCCATTTCAAAAACACACTGTGATTATTTGGCATGATTTCATTTGTGTGACCCTCAGAAGACTCCGTGCAAGCTCAATTTCAACTTCATTCTGATGATCCGCACTTTCACTTTGCCTGCAGCAGATCAGAGCAAACTGAGCAACGGTTTGCTCTAACATCATTTCACACTCATGAAACTGGTTTGACAGTCCCATTGAGAGCAAATAGAGATGAGAGAAAATTAATTCCTCTAGCTGCATTTTTATTCTGATTACGAGCACAAGCATTTTGCTGCCAATCCAAAGGAGTTGTAAAAGCAAGAGTTCTTATACAGCTCTTGTATTGGATTTAATTGGATTGTCTACCAACAGTCAGTCTCTGTACTGTATGTTCCCGATGCAGTTTTAACAGCATACTGAAGCCCCCCCCCCCCGCCTTTATTTTCCATTTGTGCAGACCACCAAATGTATACAGATTTTTAACATTTGAAAATGAGATGCCAAAATACTGGATGTGACAGCATTTTTTCATTGTAATTGCTCTGCTTTGCTTAGGGCTGTGTTGGACCACAATTTGTTTCTGCTTCTTCACTGCCAAGGCCTTCAAGACAGTTTGGATTCTTTTTTACGTTACTGCCACTCTCTTGGCTAAGGCAACACAATGTGGCAATACTTGTATATAAAATGTGACGCACATTCCAAAGCAAAACTTAAGTTTTGCATTAAAAGGGGTAGTCAAGTCAAAAATGGTCTTTTAATATGCACTTTGCTGGCCCACGTGTCTAATCATGGTTCTGATTGATATTGTATTAATATTTGTGGAATGTGAATTAAGCAGAAAAAAACATTAATTTTAATCCTTCTCAAGGGGTTGCTGGTGACTGAAAATGAGATCAGAGTGCCACAGGGCTCAGATAATAATCGTCATGGCTCACCTGTTTTCTGAGTTTGGTCATGTGACATTTGCAAGCTCAAAAAAACATTCACTTTTATGTAACTGCCTCTGATGCTGCCTCCTAGCCAGGTCATCAGGGTAAATGTAGAAATCATCCCCAACTGACCTGCGTGGTTAAATAAAGGTTAAATTTAGAAGAAAAAACGAAAGCATTACACCGATTCGAGCATCTCTGCATTTATTATTCTTGTTCTATTGTGCTCTGTTGTGACAATGACACAAACGATAGGAAGTGATTATATTTCAAATCTTTTCTGCCCCTACGTTACATCCATTTCATGGACAAAACAACTGCTTTCATCTGCCCCCATGATCAAAATGAAACATTCCTTATTGTTCTACATTAAAGAAGAATCTCAAGACTTGACTGCCTTTGATTGTCTCTCTTTTGTTCTCTTTGAGTCAGACCACCATTTTTTATAAACACAACAAATATTATGAATTGCACTGATTTTAAAAATATCTTTAGTTTTTCTTTCCTCATGAATACCTTTCTTATTCTGTTGAACACAATCATGACATTTTGTATTTATTTTTCTCTACTTGCAATATTTTTTTCCTGTGTCTAATGTCTAATGCCAACTTGATCTTCATTTTAACTGTTTAATGGTTGGGGTTAGAGCTAGGGTTAGATTTGACTTGAATTTCAGTTTGTTAACTTTTCTTTATTATCTTTGAAGTTTGTTTTTTGTTTGTTTTTTGAGGTGGGGTGGGGGTTTGCAAATCTTCCTTCACCAACTCAATCTGGGAAAGTACGAGTCATTGATTTAGAAAAAAAAACTTATCACCTAATATAAATATGCTTCATATAAATTCATGCTTAAACAAGACAAATAGCTGCAATTAGTAAAGAGTAATAAATTTGTAGTCACTGGAATTAAACCACGCATGCATTTCCATTCTGGATGATTCTGGAATAACACAGACAAATGTATTCATTACAAAATAAAAGATGCCATGGTGGTGACTGTGTTCTTAAAGAACCCAGTGTGGGAAGCATGAGTCATGATGCGCAAATTCTGAGCCATTTCACTGACTGTCGTCACCTGTAACGTCACACTGCAATGAGACGCTCACCTGTTATCTCTGTTCTTTTTTATTTAGACATGTTGGCAGGGCCTGTCTGACCATTAGTTGAGTCAGAAGACACAACCTCCCACTGAGATCTTTTGTCAGGGAAAACCCAACCAAAAAACACCTTTGTGAGTAACTCTCTGCCACTTAAACTTGTTAGAAGTAGAGCTTGTTCATCCTGCAGTATATTTCAGGTGGTTTGAGATGCATATATACATTTAAATGGCAAACTTTCACTTGGATGTGAGTGAGGGCTGCAAAATGCTGCGCTAAAGTGACTAATACTGTGGTACCTTGAGATACGAGTTTAATTTGCTCAAAACATTCAAACTGCAAATCATCTCTCCTGGTTCAAATGAATGAAAATGCTATTTATCTGTCCCAGACTCCTGTGTAATTTGTTTTTTTCTAAATATGAAAAATAGCACGAGGATATCACACATCATAAAAACATGCAGAAATCACATAATAGAACAATTGCAATAGCAATAGTAAACAATTTTTGCTTAGTTTTTGCTTCACTTCAATGGACTTCAATTTTTTCTGCTCTTTCTGGTATGCCTGCCTTGGCCACTTGGTGGCAGTATAATACACACATGAAGACCAGTTTCACAATTGACTCCATAAACTACAGCTGTTTTGTTTTTTTAAATAAAGAATATATGCCTTATATGCCTGTGAGTATTGTGTTTTATACAGTATACAGTGTATGTAATGGACTGTCCAATGTGTGTTATTTTAGCATAGTCAACTCTTTACAACCCATGACCATAAAAACATTTTTCTATGTATTACAAGAGTGTTAGTTGTTCCATATTTGCATGCGACACGGTGCGGTATAAGGATATATATACAGTATGTACCATCTGGAGCCAGCACACCCATTCATGAAGAAACTATAAATAAACTGAGGCTGAGCAAGTACACGGAAAATTTGTTTGTTAAGTGGAAGGGAACATATCTTCGTTTTCTGATTGGCTCCTGGCTCTTAAAGCCAACATTCCACAGTAACTTCCCCACTGGCCGAGTGTGGTCCGTCACTCACCTGGAGGAGTCCTTGAACACTGTGTTGGACTGCCCACTCCAAGTTCAAACCGCCTCAAGGCATCACAAATCCATTCACCGTGTTGGACTGAGATTATAGCGGAAACATGTTTGTATCAGTCACGACTGTCATCACTCTGCTTGGCTTCTGTTCGCTGCATCCTACTTCTGGACAGGTAAGTGCACTCTTGACAAATGCAAAAAGTTTGGAGGATTTAACGTGTTTAAGCTTAGATTGGAAATCATATTGAAAGCAGTGAATTGGGAAACTTTGTGCCTGGCATCACAAACTAAAGCAAACTCGAAATGATCCTAACTTTGCACATCGGCGCCAGATTATGAATACACTGACTATATCAGTGATGAATACATTTTGACTGTCAAAGCCTCCTAGTTAAACCGAAACTTGCAGAAATATCAATGTCTGTATTTGCTGTGATTTTACTCATGAACTGCCACCGTGTTTGTTTTTATCTACATTTTGTGTCCACAAGGACATACGGTATGAGTGTACAGTTTCCTTGTACAGTATATTATTAGTACATATAGACAAGAGACAAAAATGAGCGGATGGGGGGCCTGTACAACAACTTTCCACTGCATACCTGCATGCCTCCTACGCGCTTGTGCTAACGTCAACCATACATGTGAAATGTGGTAAAAAGAGACCTTTGACAAATACACGATAAACACCAGCCAACCTCCTAATGACTGAAGCCTCTCCAAACCTCACTGCTGTCCAGATCAGAAATGTTTCCAACAAATATTGACTCTTCTTACGTAACTGTTGCTGGAAAACACATTTTTGGTTGCCTGAAAACATGCATGAGGTGATGGGGGCAAGGGGAAAATGATGCTGTTGAAAGAAGAGGGCAAGAGGTGGAGGGAACTCATTAAGCGTAATTCAATAAATTTTAAAAAGTAAAGTATCTCAGTACTATCAGGACAGATCATTCATTTTCCGTTTTGATTGATGCCGTCAGTGAAATATTCAAAAAAAAAAATTAGGGTTGTATTTTACAGTGGTGTAGGAACGCACTGAACTGAGAGTAGCCGCCTGAAAATCTTAAAATATTAACACCTTGCAGCAACAACAACAAATCTAACAACCTAAAGAGATCCTCACAAATAGCCCCTGTCATCAAAATAAATAAATAAATAAGTAGATGTCACAAAACTAAGGGCTGGGTGAAATGTAACTCCGTATTTTCCACACTAAAAGGTGCACTGGATTATGAGGCGCACCTTCAATGAATGGCCTATTTTGTAATTTTTTTCATATATTGGACGCACCGCATTATAAGACGCAATCTACAATGCATCCACTAGATGGAGCTACGCTCAAGGAAATGCCAACAGAACACTACACTACACTACACCCTGATTTACATAGCGACGATCAGATGTCAGTAAAACTTATTTAATAAAGCAGCAACGTAGTTCACTTAACCAACAGAAAGTTATAACATTGACTCGTTAACGTTGAACTCTCTTGCCGCTGCTCTATTTCCGTGTTCAACTGCGAAACCGATCGCCTTAAGTTTGAACTCTGCGTTGTAAGCATGTCTCTAAAGAAAATGGAAGGCTTTTAGGTGCGTCTTTTAGTGCGGAAAAATACAGTAAGAATTAAAAATGGTCATGAAATCCATAACCCAATGCAAATTGATTGAAACAAATGTACATGTTCTTTATTCAACGGAGAAATTAAACTAAATTGTCACGGGCTTCAAACACTTTATTGCAAGCTGCTATCTTATCTCACTTCCCACCAGTCAAGTGACTGGCCATACGGAAAATAATAAGGCTTAAAAAAATAAGACAATAAGCTTAGGTTATGCTTTATAATGAGTTTTGTCTGTTTAGAAAACATGTTTTTATAATGACTTTAGTGATACTGAAAATTCTAGAAGCAATTTCTAATGCCGAGCTGCTTTTCCCTGAACCTGTAAACAGTGGATATGAAAGACACTAAACACAACATTCTGTTTTCCTTCCTCCCTTCCCGGTGAGTTCAAGTAGCGCTTCAAATAAAAAGTGATTTTTCCCGGGATGACCAAGCCATTTGTATCCATAAGGCAAGCTTTTTTTTTTTTTTAAAATTTGGGAATTATACATTTTATTAGGGAATTTCCGTGGTGATGGTTTCGCACATGAAACATCATTTAAAATAAGGTTTTGCACAATAGGTGCCTGTGATGCTTTTCACCATGGAAAATTCGGAGGGAGGACCATAAGCTCAAAGTTTGGGGAAACCAGCAACTCCGTAAAAGCCGTAATTTGTTTGATCTAACTCACTTCTCGAAACTGCCTTTCATTTTGCCTGCGCTCCGCATACTTCTTTGCATCTGCCTTTCGATCGCGTTATTTAAAGGCCGAAAAACCAGCACAATTTGTCCCAGAATTGATCAATGACTTTGCGTACTCTTAATTCATCTGTGTGCATTCACTCCACCCACAAGGTGCAAAATTAATTGTGCGACAATTAAATGTGTTTAGCAGACAAAATCCTGGTTGAGCCCACAAATTAGATTAGCTTCCACATCTGTTTGCATGCACAATCGAGCACAAACTTTCAGTCAATCAGGCCCTTAGGGTGTCTTGTAAATGCTACAATCTTACAGCTCTTCATTGAGCAAATGGTGAGTGACCTAGCACGTAGCAGACATATAATTCTCTATAGCATCACTTTCATTGGTTTTGCTGAGTCCGCTCATTTTCCCTGATATGATACTGATAGTTACATAAACGTTTCCCTGCCAACTGCACCCCCGACCACACCACATCTGAGAAGTAGACTGGGAACATTCAGTTTCTGACTTACAGGACATGATTGTGTGGGTAGACGTTCGTTCCATCATGCACATTGGACAAATACACTTTGATGCAAGCATGTTTACTTCAATATCAAAGAGCACAAGTCTGTACTCGGCTGACATTCGACAGACTCACATTTGCAACAGAGCTGATTTGAAGGTTTCAGTGCCTAACATTGACGCAAACCCTGTGCCTCCCAAGTCATATTTCAGCAAAGTGCCATAATATATGTTTTTGCATTAGTTGAATATTGTATATTGTATATTTTGTCTCGTTTATAGATACAGTATATAGTGATATTGCGATCTTGGGTTGAAACTTCAAATGAAGGAGATGTTTCAAGAAAAAGGGGAAAAACACATATACTGTATACAGATGTGAATCAATCTTAAAGCTTTGGAGGAGTTCTTGTGAAATGAGTAATAACCAACTAACAATCTCACTTTTGGATTCCAGGACTGTTCAAGCAGACTGGAAATGCAAGGATCCCTGAAACAGATCCAGAAACTTCTCTCAGCTCATGAAGCCTCTTACTTGCAGAGCCTGCGCAACCTAAAGAAGAAAATAAACCTACTGCAGAGTAGCACAGGGAAGCACTCCGTGAGAACCATAAACAGTGAGTTCTAAACAAGGGAAAAAAATAAATACTACTGTACTAATGTATTATAACAAGATAAATATTCATGTTCAGTTTGATTATTTCTACAAGGTACTTGCCCAAAACTGGATGTGCCAAACAATGGGAGGAAACTGGGCAAATCACACAGCGTGGGCCATGAGGTTCACTTTTTGTGTGACCCTGGCTTCGAACTTGTAGGAACAGAGAGCAGAATTTGTCAGGAAAGTCTGAGCTGGAGCGGCCAGCAATCAATATGCAGAGGTAAGAGTGACCAACATTCCCAATTCACTTTTCAGTGTGTGATTCATTTACGTTTTATGTTCTTGGGTCTAGGCATTTTTCAAACAGCTTCAGTAAGAGGTTCATAACGTCAATATATGACAAAATATTTGCCGCACTATTACTATTATGGAGAGAAATACACATCATATGGGGAAACCTCATTAACAGTCAATCTAACATCGGTATGATTTTTCAGATGTTTCTTTTCACACAAAATGGCAATACTGTATGTTGTTGCTTTTAGGAAGCCATTACACAGCATTGAATTAAGGTGACTTTATTATGTCAGCTGGTTGTTCCCTAGTCACTCTAGCAGTTCATACTTTTATGAAACCAACCCTCAACATCTTTCATTTTCTTCCTACAAATCTTCCTCACACAAACTTCTCCTATCTTGGTTTGTCTTCACTCAGAAGTCAACGAGTGTGCGTCCATCCCATGCCTGAATGGTGGAACGTGTTTGGATGAAGTGAACCAGTTTTCTTGCATCTGTCCTAAAGGCTGGGCTGGAGAAACCTGCCAAAGCCATGTGCCAACATGTATGTATAATATACTGATGTGGAATGCCACTGCATATGGATGGATGGATATGAAATTCATATCGATTTTTCTTATGCAGTGAAATGACGGGGAAAAAAAAATTAAAACAACAATAACGCAGGGCGGTTCAAGACTACTGCACACTACAACTACACTACAATATTAAACAAACCCATAGTTAATTAAATACTAATACTTATTACCAATGCCTAGGTACAAATGATATATTATAGACATAGATATCTATAATCTCTCTCTCTCTCTCTCTCTCTCTCTCTCTCTCTCTCTCTTATATATATATATAAATATCCATCCATCCACTTTGCAGTCCATTTATCCGCACCCGGGTCGCAGGTATGCTAGAGACTATCTCAGCTGTCTTCTGGCAGGAAGAGAGATACACCCTGAACTGGTTGCCAGCCAATCGCAGGGCACACAGAGACGAACAACCATCCGCTCTCACACTCACACTAAAGGACAATTTAGCGTGCACCATTAACCTACCACACATGTTTTTGGAACATGGGAGGAAACTGGAGTACCCAGAGAAAACTGGCATGGGGGGAACATGCAAACTCCACACAGGAATGCTCTTGTGATGGATATTATTTGACTGTCCACGTGTACCTAATGAAGTGTCTGGTGAAAATCTACCACAGATTTATGTAAATCCAGAGACAACACTTTTTTTAAACCTGGCATTCCATGGCCTACTAGAGGAGATTACTCTGCTCGGTGGTTAGGTTTGCCAATACAAACCAGTGTTACAAACCACAAAGTACGATTTATTGAATTAAAGCCAGAAGTCCTGGACAATTTCTGGGTGAGTGGCTGTCTGCTCCCCGATGCACAGCTGCAGAATACAAAGAGACCTTATGTGTGAAGCCCAGTTTATTTTGCTTTTTTCCTTTCGTTTCTCCATCAATTTTAAGGCATAATCAGTCAATGGGTAGTGTGCACTCTGGACTTCCTGCGTGGGCTTTTCTGCTCCCCATGCCTAGTAGGCTTACTCACTGGTGCTGCATGGTGCAAAGCAGAAACATTGCCACCTTCAATAATAAAAACAACAAAAGGTTTGTCTCTTTACCGTTCGTTCTCCTGTATATTATGAAGGCTGTAAATTTCCCCAGTGTGGGACAAATGCCACCTTAAATAATAAAAACAACAAAAGGTTTGTGTCTTTACCGTTCGTTCTCCTGTATATTCAAGATTCTTATGTTGTGATGTCATTTCATGGTTGAGTGAATAAAGCCATTACATACACCATCATTAAAGATGCCACTTTAGGTACACCTGCACAATCAGGTTTATTTTAAGTGCAATGTCCTAAATTCTAGGGGCTATATTTCCGTAGACAGCACACATGCGCTCGGCGTATAAGCTGATGCATCTTTTTTTTTTCTCTCCGGGGCAAGTCTAATTTTCAGGTTGACCCAAAGTGTGCACCTTTAAATTCTCTAGTTGCGCCCATAAAATTTCAAGTTTGGGGCCATTTCGCTTAATAAGTTAATCTGGAGCCCTGCCTCAAAGTCCCTCTATTACCCAAACGTAAGAACAGTTTCAAAAGCCTGCATCATCTTTGACTGCTCCTCGACTGGCCGGTTGCTGCTTCATCTTGCAATGTGCTTTTAATACACACTATTGTATTGTCTTCTTTTCCACAACTGTAAAACTAGCAGTTGGAATGACACAGACCATATCTGATCCTGACAGGGTCCATGTGTTGTCAATACTGAAGGAGCAAGTGTACAGCTTGTGCAGGTTTCACAAGCTACTACATGTTGATTGGTTCAGTTGACTGTCTTGTAAATTGATTAATTGGCCGCTCCCTTTAACTTGTTGGCCGCTATCTTTGGGGGGGAAAAAAAGGAGAAAAAAAATCTACCGGTAAATCAATACCACTACATCAGCACTGGAAGAACGCTGGCCCAGCCCGGTGCACAATAAAATGTGATCCAATGCAAATTCATATTACATCACAAGTTCTGCTTGTACTGCTTAACTTGACTTGACTTTATTTATATAAACCTATAAAAAACAGCTACCATTGTAATAAAGTGCCGTACATAAGAGCTAACATAGAATATTAAATATAATATAATACGTTATTAAATATGCAATATTCTTTTCACATTAAAATATACAATAGGTGTTCCTTTCAAATTGGCATTTGGCATAAAGTAGGTGCAGAATTTTACTGTACTCATTCCCTCTTGTTGCACAGATGTGAGGTTGTTCGTCGATGAGAAAGAGCAACATGATTGAAGTCTCCACTGACTAGTCTGAGGGCACCGGGAAGCTAAAATTAGGATCTTAAAATCACAGTGGGCATGACACCATTCGCGTTAGATACAGACGCTCAAGTTTCAATGTCAACAAAAAACTGTCGCTTTCTACCAGCCATTAATGTGCCTCTGGGCGACGAACACACGTGATTTTCCAAAAATCATAATGCTTATATATTAATGGATGGATGGATAGCTTTCAATGGTGGAGTTAAACCACACCGATAGAGCTAAATGAGATGATCAAAATATAACAAATAAATGATGCACTGGTGTTCTACACTGATGCACTATGCAATTAAAAAAATTAACGTTGTTAAATAAATACCTTGCTGACTAATTAGTGAAAAGTGATTTTATTCATCCTTTTTAATGGATCTGATTGGATTTTGCCAGCATTCCAAATGACTTCACCATTGAATTGATCCGGCTTGGCCAAATCAACCTCCAACCTCCAATGACCTTCTCCAACTTCTTCCGCAGTCTTCGCCACCGTTACAAACACCTCCGCTGCCACGTCCCCAGCCTCTGCCGCCACCACTGCTACACTGGCAGCTGACACCGCTGGGTCCTTTGTGCGTCCATCACGCTGCAACACTGTGCAGGGGACCACTCACTGCACTTGTGAGCCAGGATATACCATCGCCGGCAGAGACAGCACCACCTGCACCGGTATGACGAATAAGTGATGTCGCCACGAAACCCTCAAGTAAAGTGGTTTCACATTGAGTGTATGTGTTGTGCATTGCAGATATCGATGAATGTGAGCTGTTTCATAATGGACAAGCTGGGAGACTCTGTTTACACACGTGCGTCAACACTGCTGGAGGTTATCGGTGCACCTGTCCTGCTGGATATAATGTGACCCGCGATGGACGCAGTTGTAAAGGTCCATTTTTCTTTTGTAGTCCTGTCCATATGGACCTTCCATTTTACATCGGTCGCTGATGGTGTAGACCAGGGGTGTCAAACATACGGCCCGCGGGCCGGATCCGGCCCGCAAAGGAGTTTAATCCAGCCCGCGAGATGATTATGTAAAGCTCGCTATGAAACATACGGCCCGCGGGCCGGAACCGGCCCGCAAGGAGGTTCAATTAGGCCCGTAGGATAATTTAAAAGTGAAAAAAATGCATTAAAGACAGAATTAATATTTTTAATAAGGTGCAATTCATTGAGTATCCACAAGGGGACACTGTTTTGATCAGAGAAGAAATGGTTTAAAACTTCCTTTCTTTATGAATCTCGTTTAATCTTAAAGTGCATTACTATATTTTTCAATACCAATTACTTGTTAATGTTTGTACAATCAGTGGGATCATTTGCAATGCATTTATGTGAATGATAAAAGTAAATTGCACATTTGTCGAAGGAAATGTAAGGTGCTTCATGAAATATTTTGTAAAAGATATGTTCATTAAATTTCAACATTTTCCTAATGTTCTTGTGCTTCTTTATACCAAAACAAAGGAAAGACATTGTTTTGGTTATTTATAGCAAAGTATGGTATCATTTTAATGGTCCGGCCCACTTGACATCTTCCGAGGCCGTATGTGGCCCACCATGTGAAATGAGTTTGACACCCCTGGTGTAGACCTTGAAAATGTCTGTAGCACATGGTAGAAATGAGGAAAAATGGGGAAAAGAGGTAAAGATAGAGTAATGGTGGGAAGCATGAATTTTCATTTATCTAGCACAGTGTTCTTTTAGAGTTTCTTTACTAGAAGTGCCATTTGACCTTTTGCCACCTGAAAGTATGTGTGACGTTATGGTAAAGTGGTCTTTGGTGTAACGGCTTCCTCTCTGGGAGGACTTTCTCCAAGACTGGGTCATGTAGAAGTTATCAAAATAAATTCCTCACTGCTCACTCCATCAGTTTGTTGACACATTTAAACTGATTTCTCAGGGAAGAAGTATGATGAATGCTACTTTTGTGTTTGACATGTTGTTTCTGTTTTTTTGGCAGACATTGATGAGTGTGCCACCAGACAGAGTAACTGCAGCAGGGAGCAGACATGCATTAATACATATGGAGGATTCCAGTGCGTTCGTGTGGACTGTCCAAAAAATCCTCACGCCACTTACGTCAAAACATCACCGATGTAAGACTGATGCTTGCGCTCATTGCTGGCCACAACAGTAAATACATCATCACAATTTAAAAAAAAAAAAACGGAGCAAAACATTTCTTTATTCAAATAAAGCTATCCAATTTTGATTGGGACTGTCAAAGCTAATGAATAAAATGACACACATCGAACCACTGCGAACTGCAACCACAACAATACATTTAAAATTACCTCTGACAATTTGGGTTTTTTTTTTAAGTTCATACAACTTTTGTATTGTGTCGAAACAATTTCAGCATTGTTATTCCACTTACTGTTGTTATCCTTTCTTTCAAGGCGGTGTGAGCGTAATCCCTGCCCTGTGGATAACAAGCTGTGTTCTCAGGCTCCAAATTCTTTCTCCTACCATTACCTGGCTGTCGTATCCAACCTGTCAGCTCCCCGTGTCATGTTCCGGGTTTCAGCGTTGCGCCCGATAGGTGACACGCTTCGCTTCTCTCTGCTTGGTGGGAAGCAAGTTCGGCGCCATTTCACAGTCCAGCGTTCGGATCGGCTGACAGGTCAGCTGATGCTAAGCAGCCCAGTGCAGGGCCCTGCCACTCTGGAGGCTGAGGTGGAGATGAGTGAGCTGGAGAGACGAGTCCAGCTTGGCAGGTACATAACAAAAGTCACCATGTTTGTTTCTCCATATGAGTTTTAAAACAAAAAGTTGTTAAGAGTCCAAAATTAGACCGTGAATGGTTATTAACACAAATATAAACCGGCAAACTGCCTTTCACGTTGTTAACAATACAGCTGTTCTTGCACTGCCGCATGGAATAGAAGACATCTATACATTGCTGCAGAAATGTATTTTTTTAACAGATTCAGAGAAACATATTCATTGTGTAGTCCATGTAAATTTAATTTTCAATCACCTTATTAAATTCCATCAGAATTAAGCAATGTATTTTGTATTGTAAACTGTGATTCCAGGGTGCCGTGGCACATTAGTGTGCAGCCTGTGAGAGATCATTAGTGCATGTGGGAATTCATCAATTTCACCTAATTTGTCCCAAAAATATTGAAATAATTACAAATACATGTGTGTTTATCTATCTATGCCAGCGATGTATAGTGATAGGTGGAACAATTAAATGCTCTTGGGTGGCAGAGGGTTTCATAAACCTGTGTTTCCACCAGTAGCCAGTCATGCAACAGAAGAAAAGCTTTGTGTTAAGTTACTGGTGAACTGGCCCGGACTTCACACTCAGTGCAGTAAGTCCTTTTGTGAGTGCATTGTGACGGGATCGTCATTAGTTCAGTATATATACTTTTTGTGACGTTTTTGTCTGGTGGTGTGTCGTGAGATTTTTCTCATGTAAAATGGGTGCCTTGGCTCAATAAAGGTTGGGAAAAGCTATTATAGACATTATTGTCAGATGAGTTCACCGATCAAAGCACTCGTCCTTCGAACCCTGAAGCAGGTTGCAGCAGATGTGATATCACAAATGCTTTAGATTCTGATGTATGTATTAAAATGTGAACATTGTATCTCTCCCCAATAAAAAAAAACAACAACTTGAAAATAAATTACAAGGTGTGTCAAAAATAGTGTGGTTATTTTTTTCTGTGTAAAAAAAATTACATTACGCCATGCAGGTGTTTTCTGAATTTTGCCTTCATCGAAGTGAGAGACCCACGTGATCTGTTTCAACACTTTCTGTGTCGAAAGACCCTACAGAGCAGGGTTGTTCTGCAAAGAGAGTGCCAAATACAGGCTACTCAAAGCGCTACTATGTTCTTACAGTGCATGAATAACCTCACCGCTTAAAGTCACCTAAATAACCTGCAGGAGCACTTAAGTGAAAAATGTTCACACAGTGCATGCGTCTGTGTCTGACCCATCAACTGTATGTATACTCATAAATGGTTTGTAAATTTATGCGTTTTTTTCCAATCAAGAACTGCCAAGCACAAATATGTACCTGTGAATTATTAGGAAATATTGCTACCAAACAGGATGTGCTCAGGTACAGATGATGCTCTGCGGTCTGGCTGAGACTGTCTCATGACAACACAGTCGGTTCCCTCATTGCAGTTGCATGCTGAGTGCAGAAAGAAAAGATGCACCAGTGGCAGAATGGAGAACATTGGACAGTCATCACCGCTTGAAAGATGATGGCTGAATTAAAGTGCTGTCTTTTTTTTTTTTACATTGCAAAATAGTTCTCACAATATTTTTCCACCTTCCCTCGCTTAAATGAGTAGCCTGGAGTCTGCCTTTCAGGGATTTACAAACACATTACTTACGTATAAACTTGTTCATGATTAATGCCAGATTTCAGCTTACTGCCTCTCGAAAAGCCTCCCTGTAAGAGTTTGTGCTCTCAGGCCTGCTCTGTCCATTCCTCTCTTAACATTCAACCTTTTTGTCTGTGAGATTGACGGCTGCCTTTAGACCCACAAAGAATTAATAATGTGGAGATTGCTGCTGTGAAACCCCACTTCAACCACATCCTGATTGTTTTATGTCAAGCATTGAAATGACCAGCGTCCACACTCTGAGTGGCCCCCCGATTAATTAACATTTGTTGGATTAATTAGTTTGATCAATATTTTTAAAATGGGAGGAGGATTCTGAACAAGTTTACTCTATGACAGTGGACGCTCGCTTACTTGCAGTTCAGCACCTATTCACAATTTTTATGTAGATATTTTTTTTCATTTTTAAGTCAGACGGGGGGCTTACATAGATAGATAGATAGATAGATAGATAGATAGATAGATAGATAGATAGATAGATAGATAGATAGATGTTGGCAAAATTCTCCCTTTACAAAGTGACTAGAATTATGCTACCTTTTGATAGATCACCTCAGAAATGAATAGCTGTATATTGCAGTTAGGTTATTTTATTGTTATGATTGATTTTTAATATGCCTCTAATAGCTTTCCCGTATTTTACACAAGGCAAAATACTATTGCATATTTGTTTCCTTCATCTTATCCTGAAAAAAACGAAGGTTTTTAGTGCATATTAAAAAACGGAGCTACACCGTCGCCCTCTGTTCACACAGAGTAACTGCACACACCCTTGATACAGTACCAACATAATTTCTATCTTGTTTTAATAGACAAAAATACATATTTTAGTCACTTCAACTGCTACATTTAGTCGCAGGGAAATATGACCAGTCTACGTTATTGCGTGTTTGTTCGTGAGTGGCTCGAATAGACGAATATGACAAAAGTATTTAATCATTAATAAATGAACGTTAAGGATTTTTTACCAAATAGTTGATTCCATTTTCTACAAGTTGTGAAAAAATACCTTCATTTTATCATGTTGAAATATGAATTTAACACATTCTATTGGCAACATTTCTTTGTAATATTCCAGGCCGTGCTTTGACAAGCTGTTGAAAGATTTCAAATAAAAACGTATAAATTATTTTCTAAAGCGTGCCACGTTCTTTCAGACGAATGATTGCGAACTGCGCTGAAGTCAGTGTATTTTACAAACAGATGAATTATCGCCGAAAACAGATGTATTATCGTTTAAAAATATTTTTAATACTTGCTGCAGAATGGGATGAATAAATACGTATGTGTGTGTAGATTAAGCCTTGACGAGGATGTGGAAAAGGGATGGTGGAAAGTCAAGACACTCAGCCATGATGCTCTAAAAAGAACAATCCCAAACTTTTTTTTTCCCCGGCTCCTCCCAATAACTTCCCCCACACTTCCATTTTCCCCAGGAAAAAAAAGGTTTTATCCTTAAACCATTAACTTGAACAACATCCGAGTAAGTCACATCAAAGGGGGTATTCTAACTTTACCCAATTGGTCGAATGTTTTTTAAACGCTGCACGCTTTTCGGTAAGACGTAGAACTTGAAGAAAGTCTCATGTTTCCCTTGTTTTTGTTCCGACTGCTGCTACCTAGCTGGGAGCGTTAGCTTCGTTTTCTGGTAAACACGACAAGCGCGTTTACGCCAAGCGCGTTTACGCCTAGAGGGCATCTCGCTATTTGAAGGGGTAAAATGCCGACTTCTTGTGTTGTAGTCGACAGATAAGGTCACTTCTTTAACCGTACATCCTTCCAAACATGCCATTTTTTTATGTTTAGGATGTCAGTAGTTTAGCCACGCATGGTTTTCTATGGCGTGCCTCGGGCTACGAAATAATTACACTTTCCAAAGAAGCATGGGGTTTTTACTGTTTAACATGAACGCTCACGTTAGAAGATTGTCAAGTGTGATATTTTAATGTAGCCGAAGGGTTTTTTTTTTCATTGCAGTGGTTGGAAAGTGTGGTAAGAAACTTATCTGCAGGCTACAGTTATTATTCGGTGATTACCTGCATTTTACTTACAGCACTCCAATTTTTTTATGTTTATCCCATTTAAATGTAAACTTGAGCAGCGTATCTATACACGTCCACTATAAGCTGCAATTTTATAGTTCTGTTGTCTTATTACACATTGTTCACAACAAACTTTACAAATTAAGTGCAAACAACAGCTGGAAATGACCTTTTTTCCAACATGTATTATGTTTGCAGATGGTCATTACTCCTCTTTTTACATTACGCTACTCACAAAAGATAGTTGAGCTTTCAGGTGAAATTTCAGAATTAACCTGAATTTAATCTTTACCATTACAGGGAAGCTTAATCAGACTAAACGTCGGAACCTACATGTTTCATGTTTAAATGCGTTTTGCACAGCTTGCCGTTTTCTATTCATGACAGGTCTATTTTATTTATTTTGTTTTCGAATGACCCTTTTCCCTTTCTGTGACTCTGATGTGAATTTTGCCATTCAGCTCCTTGTTAGAGACTTGAAATGTCACCAGAAAGTCGAATATTACTAACGTTTTGTGAGTTGTGTGCGTGTGTGTGCGTGTGTGTGTGTGTGTGTGTGTGTGTGTGTGTGTGTGTGTGTGTGTGTGTGTGTGTGTATATATATGTATATGTATCTATCTATCTATCTAGATATAGATATTCTTCGCAGAGGATCAATACCATATGCCTGTATATGTGTGCGTGTGTGTATATGTATACACACACACACACACACACACACACACACGCATACAAAACACATGTGTGTGTGTGTGTGTGTGTGTGTGTATGTATATATATATATACATATATCACTCATGGTCTATGATAACTGTTGAGTTTATTAGTAATCTAATAATAACTTTTTTTTATACTTTTCAAGATGCCCGTGATTGACAACCCCGCCTCCGCAATGATGCAGCCATAGCTCTGATGTTGTAGCAAAATGTCTCCCAAAGTGCCAAGCGGCCAAGGCAAAGGGGAATATTCGGCAGTTCAAGTCGCAGTCCGAGTGCGTCCGCTGCTCCCTAAGGAGCTTCTCCGCTGTCATGAGAGCTGCATCACTGTGGACCCCGAACTACAGAGGGTCACCCTGGGTCATGACAGACACTTTCTTTGCGACTTCCTATTTGAGGAAACCTGCTGCCAAGAGGAGGTTTATTCTGCGTCCGTCCAGCCGCTTATTGATGCTTTCTTCCAAGGTTTTAATGCAACAGTCTTTGCTTATGGTCAGACAGGCTCAGGCAAGACTTACACCATTGGAGAAGCTAATATCTGTAAGTTGTTCACCTTACCTGCATTTAGTCATAAAACGTGTTGTTTGTTGTTCAGTCGCTTGATTTCCTTTGAACCATTCTGCTTACTATAAGATGTACTTTTTTCTATTTGGCATGTGTTTTTAGCATCATTTCGAGATGAGGAGCAGGGCATCATCCCCCGGGCGGTTGCAGATGTATTCAAGCTGCTGGATGAAAACGACCTCACGGACTTCTCTGTCCGAGTGTCCTATTTGGAGGTTTACAAAGAAGAATTCAAGGACTTATTGGAGGTGGAAACTGCAAGCAAGGACATCCACATTCGGGAAGATAAGGGCAACATTGGTATGGAACTTTATGTGTTTGTTCAAATAATAATACCTGCTCCTGACATACGCATTATTTTGCTAAATCCAACAATGTATTTTTTTAATCATTACTCGATTAATCGATCGCTATAATACGATGATGGAAGTGTGGCACAATTAATGCTACACTTTTTAAGCATTCAGCTTGACTTTTTTTATGTACGTTATAGCTATGTTTTGGGCAGTGAATAAGTTTTATTGTTGTAGTAAAAATTTTAAATCTCTCTTTTATAACTTTTTTTTTTGTTTTTGTTCTCATGTCGATTTGTCTAGTGCTCTGTGGGGTCAAGGAGTGTGTAGTGGAGGGTCTCGATGAGGTGTTGAGTTTACTGGAATCGGGAAACACGGCCAGACACACTGGCGCAACCCAAATGAATCCAAACTCCAGCCGCTCGCACACCATTTTCACCCTGTACATGGATCAGCGGCGGGGAAGTTTGCGTCTCTACGGGAGTGCCACAAGTGGCGGACCCCAAATGTTGTCTTCCAAGTTCCATTTTGTGGACTTGGCCGGCTCCGAGCGCATCTTGAGAACAGGCAACACTGGAGAAAGACTGAAGGAGAGCATACAGATTAACAGCGGTCTTCTTGCCCTTGGAAATGTTATCGGAGCACTCGGGGACCCCAAAAGGAAAGGCTCTCACATTCCGTACAGAGATTCAAAAATCACAAGGTGCGTTTCTAATAGTACCTCGCTAATGGTGCATATACATTCAATCTACAGTTTGGATAATTGTTTTATTTTCATCACTATTCCACCCAGGATCCTAAAAGACTCTTTGGGAGGGAATTCCAAAACCCTGATGGTAGCCTGCATCAGCCCATCATCGTCAGACTTTGACGAAAGCCTAAATACACTAAACTATGCCACGAGGGCCCGCAATATTCAGAATCGGGTCACAATCAACTGCAAGCGGGAGCCCGATCGCATCGAAGGCCTGGAGCAACAAATCAAGGCCCTTCGTCGAGCCCTGGAAAACCGCCATCGCTCAGAGACACGCATCATTTCTCACGCCGATCCCAACAGGAGGCCGCGACTTGGCGAAGGAGAGATCAGCCGACTGCAAGTACAGGAAGCCCACTATCGAACCTGTACTGACACTGCTTACAGGTTGTTATGATTTACAAGCTAATGTATAAATATCAGTAAGGTCATTTGTAATGTAGGTAGTAGCTTCGTCTTTTAAATGCATAATTTTCCTATCATTCTCTCATATATCATGCATGTAAATACTTTGTATGATAGATTGCTACGCGAGCTGCAAAGTGAAGGAACGCTGACTGCCGAACAAAGTCTGAGAGTGAAAGAGTGGCTCTGCTCTGTGGAGGAGGAACGTAGTCGTCTGACGACCGCATCTGGACCGGACAGCGGTATCGAGAACAGCTCTACAGAAGAACATCTCGCTTTAAGAAGGGAAAGGCCTTCCGTCAACAACCAGGTGTGTCTCACTCAAATCTCTGCAGTTTAATTTGAAACAACTCCACTATTATAGATGGTTGAAGTTATTTTCTCATGCTCTCCAATGCTGAAGGATTCATTTGACCAACGGTCACCAACTTTGTGTCGACAGGCACCAAGGTCCCACGAACCACCACATGAGTAAAAAAAACAGGCCTGTAAAAAAAAAAAAAAATCACCTGCAATGTTATGTGATTTCCTAGGAATGTTGTAAAAGTGGTAAAATGAAAATCTGAACACTGGCAGAGATTTTGAAAAATAAAGTGCCGCTTACTAATATGTTTCTGTTTAAATAATATACCGGGATTTAATATGTACTTTAGGTGGATTTTTTTTTGAAAGGTCATAGCTATAAATTACACTGCTTGGTAAAATCCATATTGCACAAACTTTTATAGGTTGAACTAAAAATCAAAAAATTATGTGTCAAAAATAGATTTAGGGGCACATAAAGCCATCACTGATTTAAATGGACTGTTGACCAGCGTAATTATTGTGAGAAATAATGGCCAGTCTTTTCACAAATGTGAACATCTTTAATTATTAATAACATATTATTCAACGTCCTTTGAGAAAAGAAGTCATTTTGTTTCAAAAAGGTTGGGGACCCCAGATTTAGTCAAAAGAAGTGCTTTGTCACCATTTTATGGCATCCTGGTGCCAAGATAAGAGCATACCGTAATCAAGTGAGGAACTACATGTAGACAAAAGGAGCGCTTTTCTGTCATCTTGTGGCATCTCTGGACTGCATGCACTCAGCACTTCCACATTCGTTGTAACAAGGCACCAAAGCTTGCGGAGCAAGGGGAAGACTCTATCGAGGAGTGCACTATTGATGTGGTGTATATCTATAATGTAGCTCATCTTTAAAACCCGCCTCAAAACTCACTTGTATTCTTTGGCATTTGACTCAGCATGACTCAGACTTGATCTTAGTTTTACTGTTTGGTGCTTTCTACCGTATTTGTTACCGATTATTGCTTTATTGTTGTATATATATGATCGTTGCTCTATGTACAGCACTTTGTATACAGCGATGGCTGCTTTAAACCCACCCAGTTCTGTCCTTCCCCTGTGAGGCAGACGGGTGCGGGTTAGGTGGTGGAGCTTCAAACATAGCCCGTGAGGAAGTTTAATTACTCGTAGATAAGAAGATTAAATCACCTTTTAAGATTGTCCAAGTATCTCTGATATTATTTCAGTCATTTTAATTATAACAATGTACTTGCTCAGCTTAATTGTAGAGCTTGTTTCCTTTAACCATTTGACAAAATGTATTCAATGGACCAAACCAAAAAAAAACAAAACAAAATTAAATCAAACAAACCAAAAAAAAAAAAAAGTGGTCCTTGTGAAATTCTAAGCACTGTTTAAAACACACAAAAAGTGAACATGTGCCACATCGTAATCGGTATTTGTTTCACCCACGTTAACCCAGGATTCCGATTCTTTGGAGGAGAGGTGGAGCTATGAGCGTGACAGCGTGAAGGATGGTGACAAGGAGGAGACTGTGGTCAGGCTTCAAGCGCGGGTGCTGCATCTGGAGAGAGAGAATACAGACTTCCTGGCAGCTCTGGAGGATGCTATGGAGCAATACAAGCTGCAGGTCTGATAAAGCAAAGCTGCGTTCTCCCCCCCCCTCCATTGCTATGGAGCTGGCCGTAGATAGTTTGGTTTCACATGTAACACTGAGCTTGCCTCTTGTTTTGTTTTCATCAACCTTGTCACAACAGAAATTTGCTTAACCAGGAGAGGAGCCAAAAATGGTTCCGTTTGTTGCTTTTATTCCTGCTTCTTTAGATCACATTTGTGTGTTTTTGATCCCAGAGCGATAAGCTACAAGAGCAACAGGACCTGATTGCAGAGTTGCAGGGTCTGTTAGCCAGTCCCGACGTACGCGGCTTGGGCCTCAATTTGTGCTCGCGGCCTCACACTGCCCCGATTAGCTCCATGCAGCAAAGCCAAAACGGAGCTTCACAGGTAACCAACCACGGCACTGAGTTTTCTGCTATTCACCAAAAAAATGAACTTTTAAAAACCACTTTGCTTAAGTATCTTGGTTTTGTATTACAAATGTCCAGATGTACCTGGCTTAAAATACGTACGCGTATCCACCTAATGTTGTCAGAAAGGGATAAATTATGTTTTTTTTTTTTTTTTTTTGTCAACATTAGCTCATTACTTAACTGTAATAGGCAATTGAAATTATGTAAACGCAGATCTCTGTGTATCCGTGTGATGCTGTCCATTTCTGGAAACTGCACTAATGCTCAGAAAGTCAAGTGGCAATTGAAACGAAACACATCATTGTATCTTCTTCTGCGTAAAAAAAAATATATATATATATACCAGTAAGCATTTTTTTTTAACTGTTATTTTTGGGATCTCATTACATTGATGGTGTACCTAACAAGGTGTCCAGTACATAATTATCTAAGGTTGCGTCTATTGGTTTACAGGGTGATGATCAGGATGTTTCTCTCCATGAGGAGCATAAGACCTCAAGTGGAGCAGAAATCCATGGGATCGATGAAGACGGCGTGCAGTGTAACCATCCTAGAATGAGACAAAGGTTTGTCCAGAAAATGGCAGTTTCCAACTCGCATGATCAAGATACAATGACAAACAGCTCAACGCACTGTTCATGTCACCACTTGTTTCCCTCTCCGTGATGTCACTATTGATGTCATATTTAATGACAGGCAGGTGAACCAAACCTGGACCAAGAAGGACATGCTCTTGGGTGGACGAGTACTCAGTAGGAGAGCACCAGCATCTCATCTACCCGAGTCCGACCTACGTCTCAACCTAGCCAGAAAAGCATGTGAGTTTAATCTGCTCTTGATCTGCGTTGCGACAACACGTTTCAAATTGCGACAAATTGTTTCAAAGAA